GAATCAATCTGATATGATATACAATTTAATTTGAATGCATAGCATAGTTATTAAAAAAAAAAATGTTTATGAAGGCTGTAAAATTTGGTTGAATGTTGAAGCAAACGTAATGAATGAACTCATCTTTTTATAATTGATATCTGGAAATAGGTGATTAATGTACTTGATAAACAGCTGTAATACAAATCTATTATTAGTGATCGCTGGATAATTTTTATCTAAGTCTGCAATGACCATGTTTTGTTTTAACATAATTGTCTCAAATGACTTAATTAATTTACTATAGTAATCTATATTCAAAATTTTTAAAAGTGAGTACTCACAGTTATAAAAAATTTTTGAAATTTTGATTAATTTATTATTCAAACAGTGGGTTATTGGTATTTCTGTAATTTTAATCCAATTATTGTCAACAGGATTTTTTAATTCGTTTATGTAACAAATAAGGTTTGGGTCAAAGCTCATATCAAGATAATCATGAATCTCTTTCATTTCTTCATACATTTTATGACTGTGACGATTTATCATTTTATCCATAGGTATTTTAGATCTATAGTTCATGGCACACATACCGTAATGGTTCCATAGAAGTCGATACAGTATTATGGTAAACGTGGTTTTTATTTGAAACTGGAAAAGTCCCATATCAGTAATCCATCGACTCAATTTGTTATCCATTTTCATAGTAGATTGATATTGTGCCCATAATATATTCCATACTGCTTCCCAGTTGCTGAGTTCAGCAAAGTTATCCAAAAGTGTTTTCAAAAATAGCTCCATATCTACTGTATTGTTCAAGCCAATTAAATCAAATTCCTTGTAAATAATAGGATTCTCACTGATAGTCGTTTCAAAATTTACAAGTGATTCTATTTGATTGCTTGTTATATCTATAACTTCAAATAAGTTTTCTATAATATTTTTTTCTAAAATAAAAAATCTAGTGATAATATTATTGGGTATTACCTTTTCGTTATCTATTTTAAATGTATTATTTGAATCGCAATTTTTTGAGACATATCTATTCAATAATTTTTTAACGAAAATGTGTGCTTGTTTTTCATTTAATCGATTATCATGTGTTGACTTTGATAAATACATAGCGTACATATGTATCAACCATATTGGGTCTATTTGCTTACATTCGGGTTCTTCTGAAGTGTAAAACATTATTAATTTACTGGTGTTTGAGTATAATGAAAAATATATAGTTTTTTTATCGATAGCAACAATATTATCATGACAATATGTCAAAATATTGATAATATGTAGTATATTATAAATAAATCCACAGTAAAATTCCTTGTATGTTTGTTTAATCCATTGCTCTACTATTTGCGGTGACTCATTCATAACTTCGTCGACTTTTTTTTGACAATGATAGCCAGTAATTAATTTTTCAGTAATTTCCCAAAATTTTTGTTGTAATGAGATTTCACTTTTCACTTCATTCGAATGATAAGCTACCATTAATATTAGTGTAAAAAAAGCCACTTTTGAATAAATAGACATTTTGTTTAGGCTATACTATATGCAAAATGTATTATAAAAATTTTGCATATACTTTTTATACTTTGGTTTGATATTTAATGTGATTTATATATAAAATTATTTGAAAACTCTTCTTTTATTTAATTATTATATATTTATACTCAATAAATAACTATTACTTTATTTACGTGAACCAAAAAAAAAAATCCTATCTGAGCAAATTAAAAACATGTTTTTAAAATAAGTTCGACATTATAAAAGTTTATTCTAATGATTACAAGCAAGTGTTAATATATTCATGCGTTAAATAGTATCATAATTTAGATTTTTAGTCAAAGACTGGGCATAGATTAAAATATTTTTTGATCCCTTTATTCGAAAAATAAATCTTAACTTATTCACATAAAAAAAAATTAATAGTATTGATCAGTTTTTTTTGCCCCTTATTTTATAATTAAGTCTTACTACGTTAGTACATATATTTTTATATTAAATATAATTAAACATCGTTATATCTATATACAGGGTGATTTTTTTATCATAACCCACTCAATTACTTACAGAATAATAATAATTAAAAATTTTTTTTTTATTACTATCTTTAGTTACACATTATTCTTGAATTATTAACTATATAATACTTTTTAAATTCATCCCTTATGCCTGGTAAGGGTGTCAACTTTGTTTTTTTAAATGATAACACATATTTTTAATTTAATAAAATGTTTGAGTTTTTAATTCAATAGTAAATGGCATTTGAATTTTTAATGAAACTTAATTTGTTTATTAAATATAAACATTTAAAGTTTCAAATTTTTGAGTTAATATATAGGGTGTTCAGTAAATAAGGAAACGAATTTCTATTGTACTCATTGTTTGTAACAATTTAACTGTTTCCTAATATACTGAACACCCTGTATAGGTATAATACACAAGGGATTACAAATACAGGTAGCTAATTGATTTTTTATGACATCGATATTAGCAGGTACACAGCATTGTTATTATCAATGATAGTAAGGTACATTGTTGTGAGTTTATAAATACACTAACTGACAATACAAAAAGTATATCTATTGATAGTCATAATTGATAATAAACAATCCGTGACTGTGATAGCAATATCATAAAAACCAATTAGCTACCAATTATCATTTAAAAAAACAAAGTTGACACCCTTACCAGGCATAAGGAATGAATTTAAAAAGTATTATATACTTAATCATTCAAGAATAATGTGTAACTAAAGATAGTAATAAAAAAAATTTTTTAAATTATTATTATTCTGTAAGTAATTGAGTGGGTTATGATAAAAAAAATCACCTTGTATATTTTCAGTACTAGCACTAAGTGCTTATACACCACAAACAACAAACTATATGATCAATATAATAATCACGTAGAGTTACCTGTGGTATAAGTCCGTACTTTTTTATTCGTATATAACTTGTATAAAATGTAATTATTTGTCATAATATTGAATTTTTACCATGTATATAGTTTTGGTTCGGTTTATTTTATGAGTTTTTGAGGAATTGCAAGGAAGATCTACATTATTTTGATATATTTGAATTAAGTTTATATTCTATCTAATAATGCAGATCTCTTATGAAATTAATATTTATTATTAATATTGTTATTCTTATGGTAGTTTAATACTTTGAATTCTTTGTTTTAAAATACCTTTTTTTGTAGATTTGTCTTTATTTTATTAATAGCGGAAATCATTAAAATTATTAATTACTGCGCCATATCTGATTTCTTCAAATTTGACCTTCAGGCAACCTCAAATTTCTTTAACGCCTTTCAATACAATATTTTGTGCATAAACTTTCAAAAAAGTTAGTGCATAGACACTATCTTTGCAATCAGATAATTTAATCATAATAATATAAGTAAGTCAAATGATTGAATACCATAAAAAAATATTTCTTGGGTTGAATTATTTTACAAAAAGAGAATATTAATTATAGGTTATAAAAAATTCAAGGTTTGTTCTTTAAATTAAATACTTTTCTAAAAAAACTAAAGAGCCTCATAGTAAATTTAATGGCAATAATTTACTAATAATATTCCATCAATGTCTTAAAAATATTTTGACACGATATCTATTTGATATCTTTATAAAATAAATAAGCTCTTTTGAAATTTTAACAACAAATTATATTTCACTATAAAATATAGTTGCAGAAGATCCTTGATAAATATTATAGTAGTTCTTTTTATATAAAACTATTGGTGTGTCATACTAGTTTTGTAAATGAATTTATTATTAAATTATTAGAATTAACTAAAATCCTCATAATCAAATCAATTTCATTTTAAATGATTTAAATCTTAATTTATCATAAAATAATAAAATAACTACAGTTAAATAATTAATTTTTCTTTATTAAGACAATAGTTCTTGAAGTATTTATTTTGAAATTCGATTATTTTTTCGTTTATAATTAATTCGACTGCCTTTGAAGGTATAACCTTATTAAATTATTTTTTTTTTATTACCTGAGTTTTATTATATTTATATATTTTCTGATACAAAAATTTGGTCTAGGTGTTGCTAATTAATGAAAATGTGTCCTTAATATTTTTCCATTATTGGATCACACCAAATTGTCTTCTTCTTCTTCCTCACCTTAATCCCAACTACATGGATTCGGCCACCTTTATTCTAAACTTCCACTTGACACGATCTCCCACATCAGCTGTTCTCATATCGCATTCAATAGTATCCCTCCATCTCTTTTTTGGTCTTCCTCTACCTCTTCTTCCTTCAACATTCATTTCTATAACTGTTCTTACAGCTTCCGATTCAGCTTCTCTCCTTATGACATGACCAAACCATCTAAGTCTATTTTCTCTCATCTTATCCATGATTGACGCTACATTTATACTCCCTCTTATATGCTCGTTCCTTATCCTATCTTCTCTAGTTACTCCACTAGAGTAACTACAAACNTTCCGATTCAGCTTCTCTCCTTATGACATGACCAAACCATCTAAGTCTATTTTCTCTCATCTTATCCATGATTGACGCTACATCTATACTCCCTCTTATATGCTCGTTCCTTATCCTATCTTCTCTAGTTACTCCACTTATCTATCTAAGCATTCTCATCTCTGCTACACTCATTCTCTGCTTTACTTTCTTATCAACCACCTAACACTCTGGACCATACATCATACAACTTAGTCTTAAATTGTATTATTCATAATTTAATTTTCATGCTAAATAATCTTTATATATTAGAATTATGACGTTAAGTATGTATCAATATAGTAAAGTCACATGTTAAACACGTAATAAAAAAAATATATAATATGATTTGTTGTTAAAATTTATTGTATTTACCTTGTATATTCTCTAATATAAGGCAAATTGTTTATACGTTTCAAAATAACAAAATTAGAAGTCAGTGTTACGTAATTGAATAAATTAACCATTTATAAATTTTATTATTTATGTGGAATTTTAAAAAAGAAAATAAATTTAAGTTATGAATTTTAATTCCTTAGTACATTATTACATTATATATTTGTTTATAATGTAAAAAAAATTATTAAAACGATTTTGTTTTTTTAATGTCAATCATAGTAATTATGAATGAAAATTTTTAAAAAGTGATTATTGATTAGTTGATTAATGAATAAATTTGAATTATAACTCGCAAAGAAAACAAAATTTAATTACCAATAAGACTACAATTTTACAGGTAATATACAAACCAACTGATTACTTAAATAACAAATAACCCAATTCTTTAATTACACTTAAAAGTTGTTTGTGTTATTTTATGAAAATTAAATTGAATATTAACATTACTTCTGATATACTTTTTTTATACTTAGATTTCCAGTATATTTATGCGTAAAATTTGGCATTAAAAAATTATCATCATTTGTAAAAATACATGTTCAATATGTGGCTGTCTAAGCTTATTTTGTGGTATTCTGCATTTCTAGAAAAAACTGAACATAATAATAGCAATACAAAAAATTTGTCTGAAATCTATAAAAATCTAAAAACTTTAGATACAGGGTATAATAGTAATAAGATAACAATTAGCTGTTCATTTCCAAAATGTTTTCGTGATATAACTAGAGATGAATTGATAGATAAAATAAAAAAAAATTATGGTATGCTTAATTGTAGTTTTATATTTTACGCGTTTCACTTAGCTAAATTGATGAAACATTGTGAAAAAAATGACGTGTCTATTACAGAGAATAATTTATATCTATTTCACTCTGAAGCTCTTGCTCTATTAGTAAACGCAAGTTTTGTATCATACATGGAAGATCAGATGAACCAAATTTGGTTAATTTTTGGATATGCCAAATATTTATCAGTTATGGCTTTAGAATCTAAATATAAATTTCAAGTTAAAAAAGCGCATGAATTTGTTGAATATATCTTCAACATATTGGCACTATATTCTTGTCCTAAAGGAAATAAATATAGTGAAAATAATAATCCTTCAGCGTTTAAAGTCAATTTTAATAATAATATGAATCGAAGTGAACTTACTACCGCAGCTGTTATGGACAAACTATTCATAATGAAAAAAATAAAATCGTTTTCAAATTTCGTTAGTATGTATAATCATGATTCCTACAATTCTGATGTACTAGATTACAATTCTATTAAAATGATTGAGTCAAAACCGGTAATGGAAGCGATATTGGATACTTTTGCAGAGATTCCAGATTGGGAAACTCAATGGGAAGTTTTGAAAGTAAAGAGTGAATCTATTAAGAGAATGGATGATGGTCTAAGTAATTGGTTAATTGGTATTGGTCATTTTTATACTAAGTTTAAATCTATATTTAATGTTATATTGTACCGAATATTATATTCATACATGTTAAATATTGTTAAGCTAGTAATTTTTATTAAAGATTCTAACTATACATTTGATATTTATAACGATAAAATGCGATACATATTGCTTAAGACTATTAAATATTTTCATTTCCATGAAGACAAATTTTTAAAAGATATTTTACTTTTTCTTGAAGAAGAAATAAACAATCATTGGATAGCTACGGTCGGAGATTTTTTAAAAACTTTAAAAAAGAGAATTATAGATATTACTAATGAATACTACAACTGCAACTATTCATTTCGTATGTGTTCAATAGATTACATACGTAAAGCTACAGCTACATTGAAGAATTTAATAAAAGAGCAATCCATTCAGTACCCATATCAAATGAGTGAAAATAGTTCTTCATTCGAATTGTCATTTTTAACAATTCGATTACTTCTAGAATATACTAAAGCTAAGTTTCCTGATATTAATTTTCAAATTATTAGTTCATTTACAGATTTTTCGTTAAAATATTTAAAGGAATTTAGTTAATATATTACTACACAAAAAATGTTGAAAGTTATTAACAATTTATAGTACTGGAAATAGAGAGACGTGGACCTTTAGCCATTACATTATATTGTTAGTATATTCCTAAATGATGGTCAAATAGTTATTATCAACCAGTCATTTTTTAATTATATCTTTTTCTTTCTTACAAGCTAGTTAAATTTGTATATTATCATTTGAATAAATAGTAATAAACACTAACCTTTAATGTATAAGGATAATTAGGAAAAGTATTTCATGGTTGATAAATCGAGGAAACATGTTTTTAAAAGAAATAAAAGGTAAAATTGATAATATTTTATTTAATTAACGATTAATTAATTGGATTGAAGAATCACTGTGTATACATTCATAAATATATCATACTCTTTTTAGTTTCGATGCAAAGCTGAGAAGGTATTAATTTTACTATGATGTTTTTTTTTTTAGGTCTGTTGTCACTTGTTCTCAGTCCTCACCGGACTGATTTTTTTCGACAATACGTTAAAAGATCACAAATGGTATCTAATTAAAGACATTGCCCTTAAAAGTTGAAAAATTTAATTAAATAAATACTATTTAATAAAATACTAATTTCTAAAAACTAAATACTATCTACAGATTTGCATCGAAGTATTTCATATGATAGTGATTTTAATCACTGACAGATATCATTTATAATTGCCCCAACTATGTCACGTCCACACTATGTTGTGACACTACTGTACTACCGGTTTTTTGAAACATAACTTTGTGTCAATTAAAAAAATTATATCTATAAGTTAGCTATAGTAAATTAATGTTGAAAATATTAGGACTAATTTATAAACGCATTTATAAAAAATAATTAATTAAAAAATGATTATGCTATATTCATTGAAGAATACATTTTGAAAAGTAAACTATAATTTTTACATAGAGTGTTCAGTAAGTAGTGAAACGGGTTTCTATTGTTCTCATTGTTTGTAACAATAGATCTGTTTCCTTACTTACTGAACACTCTATACAATTATGTAATATATTTAGCTATGATTACATTTTTAATACTTTTAATTATTTTTCTTTTAAATATAATTTATAATGTATTAATAATAATCATTTATTAAAGTTAATATTGTGAAGTTATGGAGTTCTAGTTACTCTCCTTTCCAATATTTCATATCTTTTACAAAATGGTATACAAAAGTCCAATATAAAAATTTGAATCTAATTCAATTTTGGCCACTTTTTAGTTCTCAAAAATATTCATTTTTCTCTATTTTTATTCCTATTATATTTTAATAACAATGCTCCCATTTTGAAACAATCGAATATAATAATTTTTGCTGAATACTATAAATTATACTAGCACATTACTTCTAAATCTGACGCAATAAACTTCCAATCAGATTTAGAGGTTTTTCATAATTGGTATGTATAAAACAATATGGCTCTTTTTACGATTTTTTTTCTTAAATGCCAAGTCGGAATAGTTCCTCATAGCTATAATGGTATCCTAAATTTCCTCAATATCCCTAGACTAAAAAATCGTAGAAAATATTCAAACATTATGTTTGTGTATAAATCAATTAATGGTAAAATTGGCTGTCCATATTTGTTACAGCTTTTAGAAATTTAAAAAAAATTCTTGAAATACTAGATAAAAATACATGGTTTAAAAAAAATAAAAGACAATAAAAAAATTACATTTTATATTCTTTCAAGTGGTTTATTAATATCAGTCGGTAATTCAGTAATTTTTTATTTGTTCTGCTGTAATCAATGTCATATAAAAAATATATTTAATTCAAGATATTTAACAATTTGTTATTGTAATAATTTGTTGTGTATATATTATGTTATATTTTGTATCTTTAACCTATATACACAGGTTCAAAAAACAAGGAAAACAGTCAATTTTTATGAACAATGAAATCCTTTGTCCTTACTTACTGAACACCCTATAAAACTTGTTAATGGAAAATATTTTTCGTATAATAATAAATAAAAATAATAATATATCTAAAAATGTTTAATTAAACTATTAAAACTTATTAAAATCATTTATACATGTTAATATCATTTAAAAATTTAAAGATGGATAAAAATGTTGTTTGAAATTATTATTTTTATATTTAATTTATTTTAGCTGTAATTATATAATATCCTCAACAATAAAACACACCGTAAATAATGGGCAAAATTTGATATTATTTTGTCATTTTACTTTAGACCATTGATAAGTTTAAGACTTTTTTTTAAGTTATAGTTACAAATAAAACTATTGTATACACTTAATAAAAAATCTAATTATTAGTTTTTCTTTATTAAATAGTATTAGTAGTAATATTGTAGTTAACCTGATAAGTAATATATAGCAAAAAAGAATACTTGAAATTATTTTAAAACTGATGTAGAAAATTGGTTTACAAAAAATAAATAGTGTGCAAAATATACTTTTGTAATAAATTTTGTGATATGCTGAATATACTAGATTGTTATAATTGTTGAGATTATTAGCCACCATAAAATTTCCTTTATTGTATTAATGCACAGTGTGTACTAAACAATATTAATATAATTTTTATACAATATAAATTAATAAATTTACATAAATATAATTTGAAAAATATATCAACTTATATTTAAATTTAAATGAAAAAAATATAATATACAGTAGGGATCTAGTAAAGTAGAGTTAAAGCATTTTTAAATCCGTTATGAAACTCAGAAGGTATTGGTTTTTACCATGATGTGTTTTTTTTATGTCTGTCTGTGTAAACTCTTACACTATCATTGGATCAGCTTTAATTATCATTTCGTTAAAAGAAACCAATTTAAATCTAGTTAAACTTATTCTCGTCGGTAATTAGAAAAAACTATCAATTTTAAAAATATAAAAAAATATTTCAAAATTACGCTAACATAAAAAATGTTATTTTCTAAATTTTACTTTTGGATTTTTAAATTACAATAACTTTTCTATATAACAATGATCCAAACGAAATTTTAATGGTGTATACTAGAGATAATTGGTTTTCATTTGGTTTACTTTTTGTTAAATTTCAAGGAAAATCTTAAATACATGAAAGGTTTGAAATACTATATACACATGTAAAAAATTTAAATGGGTTCTTATACATCATGTTTGCATTACATAATAAATGATTGTTTAGCAAAAGAGTATAATACCCATTTAGTCTAAAAATAAATTTCCAATGTATATGGTGTAATAAAGCAAATAATTTAACGATCCTTCAAGATTTTAGTGAAATTTAAAAAAAAAGAAACCAAATATAATTTTATAAACTAGTAATCTATTAAATAACTAATAACTATACGCAATGGCGTATTTTGCTCTTTGTCGTCCTTAGGCTAAATTATATTACCTCCTTCCATCGTTTAGTAACCTCTATTTCGTATAAAATCACTATTATTATTAATTAATATTTTAGCTTCGATGCGAAGCGGAGAAGGTATTAATTTTACTATGATGTGTTTTTTTTTTTTTTTTTTTTTTTTTTTTTTT